AACTAAAAGAAGGACAACAACCAATTTAAAAACAAAAATCAACCAGAACTGCCAGAAAATCAACTGTCTGGAAGACAGACAACCAAGAAGCTAAAAAAGAAACATTCATCCAGACTGGTAGAAGGGGCAGAGATGGGTATCTGGGACAGAGCAGACACATGGCAAGGTGGCTGTTAGTGGACTAGGCAGTCCCACATTCACATGCAGATAAACCGGGAGGAACAACTAGGGAATAAGACACACCATGCAACCCAGGGTTCCAGTGCAGGGAAATAAAGCCTCAAAACCCCTGGCTATAAAAATCTGTCTGGGCTGCAGCAGAGAGATAAACTTCCAGTCTCACAGGAAAGTCCACTGGAGAGACCCATGGGGTCATAGAATGTACACAAGTCCATTCACCCAGAAATCAGCACCAGAAGGGCCCAATTTGCTTATGGGGCAGGGGGAAGTGACTGAAAGTGGGGCAAGAGCCAGACAAGTGGCATTGTTCCCTCTCTGACTCCTTCCTCACATACAGCACGGCAGTACAGTGACGTGGGTTGCCCCACCCTGGCGAGTACCTAAGGCTCCACCCCTTACAATGTAACAGGTGTTCCAAGACAAAGAAACATGGCCCAAACTAAAGAATAGATCAAAACTCCAGAAAAAGAACTAAGCAATGACGAGACAGAAAACCTCTCAGGTGCAGAGTTCAAAACACTGATAATCAGGATGCTCACAGAAATGCTTGAGTACAGATGGGAAATAAAGGAAGAAGTGAAGGCTATACATAGTGAAATAAAGAAAAATTTATAGGGAACCAACAGTGAAGGGAAGAAAACTGGGACTCAAATAAACAATTTGGAATAGAAGGAAGAAGGAACCAAACACTTAATCAGACAGAATGAAGAAACAAAACTTCAAAAAAAATGAAGAGAGGCTTAGGAACTTCTGGGAAACTTTAAATATTCCAACATCTGAATCATAGGGGTGCCAGAAGAAGAAGAGGAAGAACAAGAAATTGAAAACTTATTTGAAAAAACAATGAAGGAAAACTTCCCCAATCTGGCAAAGGAAATAGACATGCAAGTCCAGGAAGCTCAGATAGTGCCAAAGAAATCGGACCCAAAGAGGAACACACCAAGGCACATCATCATTAAGTTACCAAAGATTAAAGATAAAGAGAGAATCTTAAAAACAGCAAGAGAAAAGGAGACAGCTACCTACAAAGGAGTTCCCATAAGACTATCAGCTGGTTTCTCAGAAGAAACCTTACAGGCAAGATGGGGCTGGAAAGAACTATTCAAAGTTATGAAAAGCAAGGACCTACATCCAAGAGTACTCTATCCAGCAAAGCTATTATTTAGATTATTGGAAGGGCAGATAAAGTGCTTCCCAGATAAGGTCAAGTTAAAGGGGCTCATCATCACCAAGCCCTTCTTGTATGAAATGTTCAAGGGTCTTATCTAAGAAAAAGATCAAAACTATGAACAGTAAAATGACAACCAACTCACAACTATCAACAATAGAACCTAAAAAACAAAAACAGCACTGGCTGGTGTAACTCAGTGGATTGAATGCTGGCCTGTGAATCAAAGGGTCGCTGGTTTGATTCCCAGTCTAGGGCACATGCCTGGATTGCAGACCAGGTCCCCAGTAGGAGGTTCCTGAGAGGCAACCATACATTGATATTTCTCTCCATTTCTTTCTCCCACCCTTCCCCTCTATCTATAAATAAATAAAATCTTAAAACAAACAAACAAACAAACAAACAAACTGAGACAGCAACTAGAACAGGAACAGAATCACAGAAATGGAGATCATATGGAGGATTATCAGTGGAGAGGGGGAGGATGGAGAATGGGGAAAAAGGTACTGGAAATAAGAAGCATAATTGTTACATACAAAATAGACAGGGGAAGGTTAAGAATAGTAGGAAATGGAGAAGCCAAAGAAATGATATGTACAGCCCATGGACATGAACTAAAGTCGGGGGAAGGGGGGGACAATGCTGAAAGGGAAGGTAGTGCAGGGTAGAGGGGGATAAAGGGGAGAAAAAAAAGGGCAACCGTAATAGCATAATCAATAAAATATACTTAAAAATACAAATTAAAAGAACAGAAAAGAAAAAGAAAGTGGATCACAGTAACTTCTCTAAAATTACTCACTTGGCCCCGATAGTGAACTGTGGTTCAGTGGGTTGAGCGCTGGCCTATGAACCAAAAGGCTGCTTGTTCGATTCACTGTCAGGGCACGTGGCTGGGTTGTAGGCCAGGTCCCGGGTTGGGGGGTGCACCAAAAGCAACTGGTCAATGTTTCTCTCCCTCTCTTTCTCCCTCCCTTACCCTCTTTTAAATAATAAATAAAATCTTTACAAATAAATAAATAAAAATAAAAATCATTTATGTGTGACATATGCCCTGCTTACTTCCAGAAAGCACTTCAGGCCATTGTTAATAAAGCCTAAGAAACAGGACAAATTAAAGTGTTCCCTGGGAAGTGGATGGTATGTTACAGTATCAGTTTGAGAGGAATACACTAACATTTAAGAGCTTTAAGTGTAGCTGTATACACAGCTTTGTCATAGGCCAGGCTCTGGAAATGCCTCCACTGTCGCCTACTTTTACATTCCTCCTCTACCCCACCCCCCTCCAGCACCCAATAGGAACCCCGCCCCCTTTGCCAGGTTTTGTTGTACACTAGCACCCCCACGGGAGACTGATCAGACAGGGAGGACTGAATGCCTCTAGGTCAGCAGTTTCACTACTGCTTCCCTACAGTTTTGAAGGATGGGATTTGTGTTTATGCGGCTGGGAGGATTCCTGGGTTAGAGTGATGGGTAAATGTGAATTATTTATCCATTCTTCCACAGTGCAGAGTCCACACACACAACCCAGTAGACCCTGTCTCATAAAGATACCACGTGGACCCACAATATGAAAATCTTAAAACTAGATGGAGAATCTAATTTCCATTTTAAATCTCTTCGCTACAGCACTCTTACTTTTGCACTGAGTCTGACAGTGAGAATCCCAGTCTTTAAGCTCTTTTTAAGGTAAGTGCTAACAGTGTCAGACATTTCCCAAGTAAATTCAAGGTAAAAAGCAAAATTAGAACAAGAAAAATGAAAAAATGTTTCATTTTTCCTGCTGTGTGGATTGTAACAGACCTTTGATAATCTGACTAAAGCTAATTGTCAGCTATGAAAGCTTTTCTATTACAACTTTTTAAAAAATTCAGAAAAACTCTCTTTAAATATCTCACACCAAAACTAGCATTCCCATTACTTTTCCAATACTTTTCTCCAGATTCACTAGTTCTAAGACTACTTACAGCCAGCCCTCACTAGTAAAAACTAACAGACTGGCAGGTGATGAGAAGTGGGTCTGGCACAAATGCCGAGGAATTTGTGAGGGTTTGGGGGTGGGGTGGAGAACGGGCTCGTTTTAGTTCTTTGACTGGTTGTGGCTTCTGATGTTTGTTTCAAATTGCTTGTTGCCCCAAATTATGAATTGCTTAGATGTAATTTAATGTGCAAAAAGAGGCACTGCTTAAGAATTTTTCGTTTGGCTGTGATGAGTGTGACTCAGTGGGTTGGGCATCACGTGGCAAATCACAAATCCAGAGGTGGTCCATTAGATTTCAGGCCAGGGCACATGCCTGGGTTGCCCACCAACTTCCAAGTTGGGGGCCAGCCAGAGGCAACCGATGGATGATTCTCTCCAATGTTGGTGGGTATTTTCCTCTCTTTCTCCCTCCCTTCCCCTTTATCTGAAAGTAAGTGAATAAAATTTTTTTATAAGTCTATTTAAAAAGTAATTTTTTATTTGACCAACTGACCTTTCAAAGGAAATCATCAAAGGAAAAGTTTTAAGTAAACTGCCTAACAGTAACTTGCACTTTCCAGGTATTCTTAAAAAACACCTTTCACTCTAATAGGTGAAAGCGACTCACCCATACTCATCATCAAAAAAATCCGCACACTGGATGGAAACAGTTAGCCTAGGAAAAATGCCTGCCGTGTGTTTATTTAGCATACCTTTCACACACAAACACGCCCCCCCCCCCGCCCCTTTTCTTTGTCTTTTTTGCGAAGGCCTGGTTAAGTTTCTCCCTGCTTCCAGGAGAAGTGGATCCCGACCAGACTTCTACCCTTCCTCCTTTTCCCCTCACCCCCGAAGCAGCCGTGGGTGCAGAACCGGCCCCGCAGATCGCGGACCGGCCTGTGCTCGCCCAGCCAGCGACTACACTGGGTTACCTCTGGGCACATGTGGCTGAACAGGGGTGAACCTAGACCACATCCTGTGGGACAACACCAGGAATACAGAAGGCGTCCCCGTTCTCCTGGGCCTGCACAGGCCGTCCTGCAGAGGGGCGGTAGCATTGCCCACGGGGACCCAGTGACAGCCGCTGGAAGGCCACTCCTCCCCGGCTCCGGCCTGGGTCCAGCGGGCCAAACAGCCACCCCAAGTCTGCAGCCTGCGCGTGTGTGGGCGCAGATCCCGGGGAAGGTTGCTGGGGGACCTCAGACCTTCTGCCAAAGCTGGTCCAGCCACACAGAGGGATGCAGGAAAGTTCCCCCCACCCCCACCCCCGCCATTCCTGCCAGACAAGAGACCACGGGCCCCTCCGCGGAGAACCTGGGGACTTAGAGCGCGCCCGCGAGCGCCATTTCTTCCACGCAGAAAGGGGCTCCCAGTGACCCCCACCCGTACCACGGGACCTACACGGCAGGCCCTGGCGCTCTGGCTCTGGTCTGCTGTGCGCCCTTCGGTCCCAACACTGGGTAGGAGGAGTATTTGCAAACTTACCCAGTAGCTGGCCGCACTCCCCCTCACTGCCTACTGAAGCCCCCGCCCCGGGCCCCGATCCCGGTAATCCTAACACCGGCCCTCCTCCACCACCTTCACCCAGGTCCTCGACTCCGTCTGCTCTCTCCCTTAGCCACAGCCCACAGCCCCCACCCCCGAGCCTGTGGGCCGCATGCCCCTTCTCCCAGACCCCGTGCCCTGCGCACTCACAGCCCAACGAAAGCCGAGGGATGAAGAGCCAAGGAAGCAGCAGCAACCAGAGCAGCCACGGCGGCGGCCGCAGCAGCACCTGCCCCATCCCGGGGCGCAGTTCTGGAAATTCTTCCCAACCTGTGGGCCACCGGGCCAGCGGAGTTACGTAGCCTGGTGGTGGGCAGCGGGAGCTGGACGCTCAGCTGGGAGGTGCCTAACTCGGACAGGGGTGGAACGCTGGAAAGGGGCGGGACCGGCAGGAGAGCAAGGGGCGGGCCCAGGGCAAAAAGGGGACCCTAGGGCCGGAGCTGAGAGGAAGAAAGGGGAAGGAGAGGGACTGGCGTGGAGGCTCATCACGGGGAGGCATGGCGTTGGCAGGGGTGAGAAGAAAGGGACCGGTCTCCTGGCGCCCTGCGTCCAGCTGAGCTCCTGGGGCACCGACCAAAGTTGTGGCGCCCGCCAGGCGCGGAGCAGCTGGTGCCCCAGGGAGGCAGAGCAGGAGGAAGAACTCGATGCTGCAGGAGCAAAGAACAACAACGAATGCAGAGCAGGAATGCGAAGAGGCAGGTACTGACTTCAAGGTTTTGTACCACTGTGCTAGCCAGCTGCTTTGACTGGGATCCCAGCTAGTCACTGCATACTCATTGGATTGCCCACTGCGCTTCTTGTGCCTGGCCCATAGGAGGCGCACAACACACCCCAGTTGAAGGGAGGCGGAATGAATTCCACCTAACCTCTGACACTAAATTCTGAGACTGGAAAGTGTACTTTTTCAATCATAGACATTTCACTTGCAGGAAATTATTGTGAAATAATTGCATAAATGTTCAGAGATACTGATACAAAGATGATCATCACGGAATTATCCATAAGGCAGAAAACAAAACAATGTTAAGTCCATTCATTAGAGCTAAATTTCACACTTTATGGCAGACCAGAACAAAAGATCCTAGAAGGTATTTTTCAGAAATATCTTTAATGTTATGCTTCCGCTCAAGATGGAGGTGCGGGTAGGCATGCTTCGCCTCCTCGTGTGACCACAAGAAGAATCACAACTAAGCTCAAACAAAAATCACCCAGAGCTGGCAGAAAATGGAACTGTATAGAAGTCTGACAGCCAAGCATTTGAAAAGCCACACTCATCCAGATGGGCAGGAGGGGCAGAGTCTGGGGACCGGGCAGAAAGGCCACGGAGTGGTGCGGGAGGTGGCAGAGGGCAGAGCAGGTGGCCCCACATTCTCGTGTGGTGGGTAATACTCAGGAGGGATGCCTTGGGAGCAAGCGATCCCAGGCCCAGGCCAGAGGGCACAGCCCATGGCCCCAGAGCCGGGAAGACACAGCCTCATATTTCTGGCTGTAAAAACCGGGGGGGGGGGTGTTCAGGGGGCAGAAGAAACTGCCAGTTTCCTTTAAAAGGCCCACAGGAACTTAGAACATTGGCAAGCCCACCCACTCTGGGAATCACCACCAGGGCCACAGCTAGGAGGATGCCAGTGGCATAACGATGGGGGTGCAGTTACTGGAAATTGGGGTGAGTGATGGACAAACCTCCAGAAGCCAGGCAGAGGCACTGTCCCCTCTCTGACCCCTCCCTGCACACAGACACCAAGTGGTGAAGTGGGGGGGCCCACCCTGGCTTACCCCACTTAGCTATTCACCTAACGCTCTGTCTCATGCAAGTTAACAGGTGCGCTCAGACAAGGAGTCAAGCAGCTCTACCTCATACACAGAAACAGCACAGGGAGGCTGCCAAATTGAGGAAACAAAGAAATATGGCCCTCGAGGAGGAATAGGACAACACCTCAGAAAAAGAGCTCAATGAAATGGAGAGAGCCAACCTATCAGATGCAGAGCTGAAAACACTGGTGATCAGGATGCTCAGAGAACTCACGAGGTACAGCAGAAGCATAGGGGAAGAAATGAAGGCTACGCTGGGGGAAACAAAGACAAATGCATGGGGAAGCAACAGTGGAGGGAAGGAAGCCAGGATTCAAATCAATGATTTGGAACAAAAGGAAGAAATAAACCTTCAGCCAGAACATAAATAAGAAACAAATTTTTTGAAAAAGGAGAGTATGAGAAGACTCTGGGACAACTGCAAAAATGCCAACATCTGAATCATAGGGGTGCCAGGAGGAGAAGAGGAAGAGCAAGAAATAAAAAACCCATTTGAAAAAATAATGGAAGAAAACGTCCCTAAGTTGACAAAGGAAATGGATATACAAGTCCAGGAAGTACAAAGAGTCTCAAACAAGTTGGTCCCAAAGATACCACACCAAGACACATCATAACTAAAATACCAAAAGTTAAAGAGAGAATCTTAAAAGTAGCAAGAGAAAAGCAGAGTTGCCTACAAAGGGGTTCCCATAAGACTGTCTGCTGAATTCTCAAAAGAAACCTTGTAGGCAAGAAGGGGCTGGCAAGAAGTATTCAAAGTGATGAAAAGCAAGACCCTACAACCATGATTGCTCTATCCAGCAAAGTTATCATTTAGAATGGGAGGGCAGATAAAGTGCTTCTCAGATAAGGTCAAATTAAAGGAGTTTATCATCACCAAGCCCTTATAGTATGAAATGTTAAAGGGACTTATTTAAGAAAGAGAAGACCATCAAGTATGAACAGGAAAATGACAACAAACTTACTACTATCAACAACTGAATCTAAAAAAAAGCAAACAAACTAGGCAAACAACTAGAACAGGCACAGAATCATAGATATGGAGATCATTTGGAGGGTTGTCACCTGGGAGGGGATGAAAATTGCTTCTTGAAACTGATAGCTTATTCCCTGGTCTTGTCCTTGCAAACCCCAGTACCGGGCCTACCACTTTCACAGGGTTTCTGCTGGGAGGGATGCCTCCGACCATCTCCCTGCTGGTTCAGCCTGCTCTCAGGGCCCGGGGACACCTGGCTCTGAGGCAGAACCTCATATTCGGTCTGCCCTCTGGTGTGAGGATGCTCGGCTCTGGTGCAGACCTCTAGGCCGTTTGAGTTGGGACCTCTTTCTCAAACCTTTCCCCCACCCCTGCCCCCTCAGTTGTTCTCCTGCCTGAGATATTGTTCCCTTTTCTTTTTCATAGTTCTCATCATGGGCAGTGCTCAGTTGACCCCACCCAAGGATTCCCTGTTCGGTTGTCCACTTAAGAACTTGAAGGCTCTGGGCCAACCTCAGGGCCAAGCCCTGATTTTCTATGGTGACATGGCCTGGCCTCAATACAAACTGGGTGACTAGGAAGTCTGGCTCATGAACAGAATCTCATAACTATAATACTGTCCCCCATCACGTGACTCTTCAACACCCCTTCTATCTCCTCTCCCTACTTCTCCTTCTGGAGACCTGAGAGCTGCTAAATCCTGGGAAAAATTGGGCCTGCATCTCAATGCAGAGAAAAAAGTGGCATTTTAAACTCAAGCTGATTTTCTACCCATTTGCCTGATGCTTGCTTTTCCTTCTCTACTTTTTTGAAGTGCAAACACCTGGTCTTATTCAAGAAGTCTTGTCTAGGGCATTGTTTAAATACAAATTTGGGGGAAGTAATTCTTATCAAACAGGGGAAAACCTTAGCTATATCTGAGCAAATCAGTTTAGTTTACTGCAGCTATTCCTTTCTAAATCACTAAATTCTGATAAAAGATATTGAATATCAAGGTGTTTTGAAATAAAACATAAAATACCAAAACACAGATGGCTAGACCTGCTTTTGACTTTTCATTACAAAGAGGCTGTGGAGTGGCTTTGGAGCTGTAGGTAAATGTCTTGTGCTTTATTGGAGGTGCATTTCCTGAAAGTGAGGGTGTGTTTGCCAGCAGAGGAACTTGTTTGTAACGACCATGAGAGGTGTGCACAAGCCAATCTAGGGAATGCCGTTGCTTACTTTTTAATCATTATGTGAAATTAAGGCTTCCAAAAGTTAAGTTCAAATTAAGTTGGAAAGAAATCGTATGGTGTTAATAATAGAAGGCATGAACATGGAGATACAATTTTAAAGGACAGGGGTTGAAAGTAAATTACTATAAAGAATGGCTATTTCTAAAGGGATAAGAAAGTTTGTGAAAGTTGCAGAAAGGTTTGTGAAGGTTGTGAAAGTTTTAAATTTATGAAAAAAAGAAAGCTCAGGCTCCAGTACCCCTTCCTCCACCTAATTTCTCCCTGGTGACATTCTGTGATGACTCTAGTAGCACCTACAGTTATTTCCTTTACACTTTCTCCTGCCCTCATCGGCATGGGGAGTAAATCCCGTCAGCTGTGGAATAAATCCTTCATCAAAATGTGTTTTGTCACCCTGGCTGGTATGGCTCAGTGGATTGAGTGCTGGCCTGTGAACCAAAGGGTCACTGGTTCAATTCCCAGTCAGGGCACATGCCTGGGTTGTGGGCCAGATCCTCAGTTGGGGGCCTGTGAGAGGCAGCTGATTGGTGTTTCTCTTGCATATCGATGTCTCTCTCTCTCTCTCTCTCCTTCCCTTCCTCTTTCTCTAAAAATAAATAAATAAAGTCTTTAAAAATGTGTTTTGTTAATGCTGAGATAGAAAGTAAACCTGCCCTCTGGACATGGAGTCACCCTACATGACTGTCCCCAGGTGACCACTGGGACATGAGGTCCAGTGAGTCAGGAAAACATCACCCCTAACATTTGAAGGTATATATTTCTTCTCTTTTGTTCGATGCTCTGGTTGTTGGTAAGGCCACCCTCAGGGCATGGGGTAAACACATCCACGTGTCAAACAGCTTTCTCTCTCAAACATGCTTTCTTTCTCTCTGCCCCTGTGGCTTTCTCAAATGGGCTTCCTATTGAGTGGGGTAAATCTATTCCCAGGGCATCTGCATAATGCTCCCGTCATTGGGAAGGCTACCTTCAGACACAGGAAACACATCAGTCTCTTTGTATTTCTCAACTAGTGTGGACTATAACTCTTGGTCCTGCATCTGGAGCATATACCTATCTTCTGTTACCAAGTTTCCAACCTTTCAGGGGGCCAAAGCAGCCATGCCCTGCTGCTAGGCTATTTCCACCACTCACTACCAGTGAGCTTTTATTGAGAGTCTCATGTATTCTTGCTTAGTATTTAGGACCTTCCATCCCTTTTCCAGTCTTCTTGAAAGCAGTCAAAAGCAAATAGGAGAAATCTTACACTTTTTCTGCAAATATTAGTAATTCAAATTATGTGTATGGTCTTCATGTGTTCGGTCTTCATGCGCGTGGTCTTTG